CACTGCGAAGGAATGCGAAGCAGTGGAAGCAATGCAGTCAATGCAATGGCAGTACAATGCAACACATTGCCATGCATACCTGGTGCGAGGGCAAGGCAACGGACAGCACTGCAACCAGAAGTGGGCGAACCCAGTACAAGGAAATGCGGTGGAGCACAGTTCGAGGCAAAGCAGAGCGATGTGAACCAATGCAATGTGAATCACGAAGCAGTGCACATGCACATGCTACGCAACACACTGCAGCGCAGACAGTGCAACATACAGTGCGAAAAGCCGATCGAACCCCAAGAACCCCGGGAACTCAGAGATCGCAGGGACGGGGCACCCAAGGAAAGACCCGGGAAACCCAGACTGAGGGTCGCAAGTGCCGTCGGGTCTCTGCCGCAAACAGATGGCGGGAGGAGAGAGGGACGAGTAGGAAGAGGGAGGAGGGAGAAGCGATGATACAGACGGCAAGATGAAAGAAGACTCAGGCAGGAGCGGGTGGAGGAGGAGGCAAGGAGAGGAGGGAGGCAGGATCGCATAATTAGCGGCACCGCGTCCCCCCGCCCATGTCAGCACGCTCTGCACACAGATCGTGTCCCCCAGTGAGCGCCACCTACGGCCCCAGATAAAGGCAGGGTTGACATAAGTGGCGTCCCCCCGCCAACTTCGGGAGGCCCCTCACGCGGATCGTGCCCTCCCCGCCCCCCCCAACGGGGTGCTCAGCATGCAGTGCCAGAGTCAAAGCTCGCATGGCTCCCCTCCGCCCACTGCGGCACGCTCTTCACGCGGATCGTGCCTCACAGGGATTCCAAGTACGGCGACACGGGGGGGGGGATTCGCATGGCGTCCCCCCGCGTATTTCGACTCACCCCTCAAACGAATTGTGGCCCACAGGGGGCTCCACCGATTGCCCCCGAGACAAGGTTCGCATCCGCTCCGCCCATGTCGGCACACCCTGACATGGATCGTGTGCCAAAAGGAGCTCCACCCACGACCCCAGAAAGAAGGTTCGCATGGCGTCCCCCCGCCCATTTCGGCACACTATTCACGCGGATCGTGCCCCCTTTCCTGGCGATGGTGTCCGGGGTCTTGCCTCTGGGGACGCCCCCATGGCCCCACAACTCCTCAGATGGTCCAAGACGAGCCGAGAGAGCCCCACGAGGCTCCCAGACAGGCCCATGACAGCCACGAGGCCGCCCCGCGGCCCTCCAGAACAGCCCAAGAGGGTGTCAGGGCGGCCGAATACGCTCCCAAGATGGATCCAAGAAGCTCGTCAAACACCTAAGGAACATAATAACTATCGCCTTCTCGCTGTTCGCTGCCGATAAGCCTCACGGTGGGTCCAATACACCTGAGGCGCGTCCAAAACGGTGCAGGAGAGCCCCAAGAGAAGCCTCACGAAGCCCCCCCTAGGTGCCTTCCAAAGCGCCTCAAGAGGCCCCCAAGAGCCGCCCAAGATGCTTCAAAAAGCGCCCCAGGAAGGTCCCCAAGAGGCCACAGGACACCTCCAAGAGGCCCCCAGGATCCAAGGGGTCCCTAAGGGCCTCAAGCGGTTCCCAGGAGGCCCCACGACGCACCGAGAAGCTCCCAAGAGGCCCCCAAGATGAAGAAGGGCGACGACGACGAATCGTCGCTCTCGTCCTTCCTGTGCTCGTCCTATCTGCCGAAGTTCTGTTGCATCGTCGGGGGACCTTGTCTGTCCAATCGCGGCCCTATCCGCGTCGAATCTATGTCGAATCCATGTCGGCCTCGTCAGATCCGTGTCGAACTCGTGTCGAATCCGCGTCGAATCTACGCCAAGTCCGCGTCGAGTCCGCATCCAGCCCGCGTCGGGCACAAGCAAAAACACCAGTTTGGGGGACAGGCGAGGTCCCCCGAAGATGCAACGCAACCTCAGCAGATAGGACGAGCACAGGGAGGGCGAGAGCGACGGTTCCTCGTCGTCGCCCTTCTTCATCTTGGGGGCCTCTTGGGAGCCCCTTGGGGCGTCGTGGGGGCTCCTGGGAGCCACTCGGGGCCTTTTGGGGGGTCCTCCAGGGGGCCTCCTGGGAACCGCTCTCGTCCTCCCTGTGCTCGTCCTGTCTGCTGAGGGTGTGCGAGGGGGGCGAAGCTGGGCGGCGCGCACCAAGGGGTGGTGGTTAGGGGGGGGGGGGGGGGGGGGCAGGGCCTCTTGGAGGGAGGCCGCTCCTCAGGGCGCCAGCCTCACGTCCGTAGCTGAGGCCCGCGCCTGCCAAGGAGCAGGGGTGCTTCTGCAAGCAGCCCTCCCCCCCCCTCCCCCCGCCCCCCCCCCCCCCCCCAGGGGAGCCCAGAATCGAATCGATAAGTCGGATCGGCGATCGAAATAAGTCGGATCGGCAGAAATCGGCAGCCGAGTCGGGAAAAGTCGAATCGGCGGAAATCGGCAGGCTAGTATGCGTCCAATGAGGTATCGGAGCCCAAAATCCGAAATCGAATCGAATCGGCATCGGAATCCAGCGGAGTCGAATCGAACCGAATCGAATCGGAGGAGTCGAAACGAACCCTGCGGGCCCCCCCCTCTGCGCGTGGGGGGCGCGAAGCTGCGCGGGAGCGCCCTGGGCACGCAGCGCCCCAGGGGCACGCCGCGCCCAAGGGGCACGCCCGCGGGCACGCTCGGCGCGCCCGGGGCGCGCCCTCGCCTCCCGAAGGGGCCCCCCGGACGCCTCGAGGCTCGCAGGCCCCTCGGGCGAGCGCTTCTCTGGCCATCGCTCTTTCCCTGTGTTTTTGCTTCGGTTTCGTGCGTGGCTTTTTCGCCCAATGATCAAGGATGCTCCTCGATGGTCCTCGCCGAAGGAAGAATGCACACGTCCGAGCGATGCCAAGTTCTTGCATTCAAGAGCCTGGTTCTTGAGTTCAAGAACCTGTTTTTTGTTGATCTTGAAGGGCTCAGGCACTCTCGAATGCAAGAACCTGTTCCTCGAATTCGAAAACCAGCCTCGGGGAGCCGCTGCGGACCTCCAGCAGAGCACCGGCGATGCGTCGGCGACATCGGCGTGGAGACATTCGGGCCCCACATCGAGCCCCATTGCCGAGGCAGCGCCGCTGCATCGCCGAGGCAGCGCCGATGCATCGCCGATGCGGCGCGATCCTTCGACCCCATCTACTCCGACCCCATCGGGGAGGCCTGGGCTATCATAGACTTGATGTCGACCGGATTTCATCCCGACCGCCCCTCTTCACCCTCTCGTCCAGAGTTCGTCCAGATGTCGACCAAATCCGACGAAATCTGGACGAAATCCACGACACCGTAAGGAAGTTGTGGACCCCCTGAGGCTCCCATGAAGGACCACACAGGATCCAAGCTCGAGGATCTTGACGCTCGAGGATCCCGAGGTTCCAAGCTCGAGGGTCTCCAGGTTTTTTCGGACGCTGTTGGTCTGGTTCGAAACGCCGGGAGCCTCAGGGGGCCTCCCGGTGACCTCCGCGGAGACCTCCGCTGGATACCTCCAGAGACCTCCGAAAGCAAGGTACAGCTTTTCCAAAGATGAGCTGCCTCAAAGCAACCAGGCTGATACCTCAAGATGCAAACGCCCACGCAACCTTGCCATCACGCGGCATCTTCAAGATGTGTGTGGGCGACTGTCCAAAAATATCCGCTTCCAGTGCAACCCGCATCCATCCGATAAAAGGGGGGCACCGGGAAAAGTATAGAAAAAGTGTCGAAACAGTGTCGAACGAGTGTCTCCCCGGGCCCGACACGTGAAAGCCCTCGAATCTCGGTTCTTTTCTGGTGCTCGAAACTCTTCCTGCTGATCCAGGCTACAGTAGGTCGGAGCATCATCATGGTAGACATCAATGTGGCGGTGGCGGATATTTTAATTACCAGCAGCGCGAGCAGATACAAATTCACAGAGAAATGACGTCATTAAATGGAAGACTCCTAGATGGAGTCCGAGTAGATAGGGTCGGAGGATCGCGCCGCAACGCCGATGCATCGGCGATGATCGGCGAAAAATCGGCGATACATCGGCGACGCCAGCGCGGAGAAAATGGGGCTCCACATCGAGCCGCATCGGCGATGCATCCGCGATGCGGCGCGATTCTCCGACCCCATCTACTCGGACCCCATCTGGGAGGCCCAGATTGAAAGAAACTCGTCGCAACACGCCGTGATCATCGGGGCGGACGAGAGGAGGTGCTGCACAGGGAGGGCCAACGAAGCAGCCCGCGCAGCTGGCCGGGGGAGCCCGTGCATAATCACCCAGGGACGGTGCCTAGACGGCGGGGTCGAAGCCAGCTGCACGCAGCAAACTTCTGGGGCAACGAACAGATGATGCCCACACCGCTCTGCCCCGCACCGCTGCTCCCTCGACCTCTCCCAGAGTGCGTACTGGCAGCTCCCCTCAGGCGAATCCAGCTGTGACGACGAGGGAGGGGCCAGCGGTTTCGGTATCTCTCCGTCCTCTGAGCCCCTCCCCCCGGCCCACTTTGAGACGAAGCCAGGGAGAGGATAAGATCGGGCGAAGATGAATCGGGAATCTCTGAGATCTGGAGGTCATGGAGGATTCTCCTCGAGCGTTCCGAAACGCTCCGAGAGCGTTCTGGAGCGCTCTGGAACGGATTCGCCCTCGTCCTGTCCGCGCCCGACCTCTCCCGACCCAGACCCACGACGTCGTGAATTTTTCACAGCGTCGACCCCCTAAGGGTCTGGACCCCCTCTCCCCAGGACCAGTCTTTCGCCCCGAGCCGTTTCTTGACGGCCCCGAGGCCCGGTGAGGGCCCCCGGAGGCCGAAAATCATGGAAAAAAACCTCGCATCGTGTTTTTTTCGCAGCGCGGGGAGGTCTGGGGAGCCTCCCCCGCTTTGGACGCCCGAAGTGGGTACGGAAGAAATGGCTACAATGCCCAACAACAAATGTTGTCCCAAAACAACAGCGGCCGCTGTTGGGCAGGCGGCCGTTTGTCTCAAATGGACACAGGCCGCGGCGGCGCGGACATCGAGTCCTGTTCAAAACGAGCAGAAACTGCTGTTGGGCATTGTGCCCATTCCTTCTGCACCCATCTCGTTCGTGCTGACCCGCTCGTCCGACCCGAGGTGCGTGTGGGGGGCCTCGCCGGCCCGGCAGAGGCGCCGCCCGAGCGCGGAGCGCCCGAGAGCCCCGCGGCGGCGGCGGGGCGAGGAGCACCGGGGGGGCATGCAGCGGAGGCCTCGGAGAAGGAGGCGGGCCTCGGCTCCCCTCCCCTCTCCCCTCTCCCCTCCCTCCCCTCCCCCCTCCTCTCCCCTCCCCTCCCCCCTCCCCTCCCCTCTCACCTCCCCTCTCCCCTCCCCTCCCCTCCTCCCCCTCCCCTCCCCCCTCCCTCCCTCCCCTCTCCCCTCCCCCTCCCCTCCCCTCTCCCCTCCCCTCCCCCTCCCCCTCCCCCTCCCACCCCTCCCCTCCCCTCCCCTCCCCCCCTCCCCGGCGAATGAAGTCGACCATGCGAGCAAATACCTGCTCGTTCGAGGAATCTGGGGCAACTTTCCCAGGGCTTCTCGGAAGAAGCCACTGGCCGACTCGTGTGCTCACGCCGGAGGGACGAAGGTGCTCAACAAGCTGAGCCAGCTTTCCGGCAGGTCGGCTGAGACATTTCGGGGCGAGGTTTCGCAATCGGATGCTCGACTGCAGAGGGGCCCGAGGAAACACAGACAGACAGACAAAAATCCCTGGACTCCCCGCATTCGCACATGTCTTCTGGATGCATGCTCACCTTCCCTCCCGCTCCCTCTACTCAGGACAGCCCAGAATCGAATCGATAAGTCGGATCGGCGATCGAAATGAATCGGATCGGCGGAAATCGGCAGCCGAGTCGGGGAAAGTCGAATTGGCAGAAATCGGCAGGCCTCTGTGCCTCCAATGAGAACTCGGAGCCCGAATCGGAATCCGAAATCGAATCGAATCGGAATCGGAAGCCGTCGAAATCGAACCGGATCGAACCGGAGGAATCGAAACGAGGCCTGTCTACTCCCCCTACTCCCGCGGAAATCGACGCTTGTCGCTGCTTGTGCCCAGTCTTTCCTCCTGCGACACAGAGTGTGTCTCGACCGACGGACGCCCGCTCGTGGGCCGCCCAGCTCGCCCCGGAGCAGGGAGGAGAGTGCTCCAGGGTCTGTGAAGGGGCCCTGGGACACACAAATAAATACACACAAATAAAAAAAAAACAATATTGTCCCATGTTTTCTGGGTTTCTGTCTTCCCCCCCACTGCCTATATTTTCTTATATTTTCTGGGAATCGACGATTAATTGTGTCTGTGTGTTTTTCTCCTCCTGAGTCTGGCCCCGCGGAAGCTCGCCATCGCTCGGACGCCCATGCCCGGGGCATCTGCTTCGACTCCGCGAGGGCAGCTTTTCGTGCGGTGATGCCATGTGCTCCTCGATGGCTCCCGCCGAGGAAAAAACTGCGCACGCCCGAGCGGCTCCAAGCGGAAGGACACTCCTGAGCCGATGCCCCCGCCGTAGTAAGTGAGCATGCAGGGAGACTGCGAGGCGGGGATCTATCCATATCCACCGCCTGGAAACCGACGTCCTGGTGCTCCGGCGGGCGGGCGGTCTCCCTGAACGACCGGGTCACGATTTGGAATGCTTCGGAGGGTGTCTTGGGGCCATCTTGGGCCGCCATGGGGCTCTCTGAGGGCCATCTTGGACCCGTGTTGTGCTGTTTTGGGGCTCTCTTGGACTGCCCGGAAGCCCTTTCGGATGGTTGCGGGGCGATTTTGGAGCCTCCCAGGCGGCTTCGGACGCCCAGAAGACCGCCGTCTTGGAGCGTCGGGAAGCCGAAAAGAGGAGAACCCCCAAATTCACCAAAAACCAACAGAAAATCAATGATTTTTGCCTCTTGGGGCCTTCTTGGGAGTGCTCTTGAAGGCCTCTTTGGGACCGTCCTGGAGGCCTCTTGGGCCATCTGGAGGTCGCGTCGGTCACTCTTGGAGCGCTCTTGTGTTGTCTTGGGGGTCTCTGGGACGCCTCCGATGACCCACCTAACCGCCGTAGGTGTGCTAGGAAGGCTTGGCAAAACGCCCTGCGAGGCCCGGGGGGCCGCTTCGAGGCCCGTCCAGATGGTCCCAAAGCCCCAGCTCCTGGGGGTCCCCCCCTTTCGCGTTCCGCCCGGATTGTTAAAATATATCCGCCGGCCCCCTTGTGGGGCCACCAGGCTGCGAGGCGCGTGATTCGCAGTTTCCTGTACCAGTCGTAGTTTGTAGTTTCCAGTGTTACAGTTCTGCTTCTTGCTGGTTACTGTAACTAGTTGACTTCTTGCTGGTTACTGTAACTAGTTGATTGACCGCGCGAGGGGGGGGGAGGCCCAAACAAGACTTTTAGCCACACCTGGGCGCGTTGTCTGAATTGCTGGGGGGGCTCGAAATCGACACCCCTCACGCAGATCCGCGGGGTCAGGGTCCAAAAACACATGGGATTTGCCACATTTCTCAAAATTCGGTGCCACCCCTCACGCAGATCCGCGGGGTCAGGGTCCAAAAACACATGGGATTTGCCACATTTCTGAAATTCGGTGCCACCCCTCACGCAGATCCGCGGGGTCAGGGTCCAAAAACACATGGGATTTGCCACATTTCTGAAATTCGGTGCCACCCCTCACGCAGATCCGCGGGGTCAGGGTCCAAAAACACATGGGATTTGCCACATTTCTGAAATTCGGTGCCACCCCTCACGCAGATCCGCGGGGTCAGGGTCCAAAAACACATGGGATTTGCCACATTTCTGAAATTCGGTGCCACCCCTCACGCAGATCCGCGGGGTCAGGGTCCAAAAACACATGGGATTTGCCACATTTCTGAAATTCGGTGCCACCCCTCACGCAGATCCGCGGGGTCAGGGTCCAAAAACACATGGGATTTGCCACATTTCTGAAATTCGGTGCCACCCCTCACGCAGATCCGCGGGGTCAGGGTCCAAAAACACAGGGATTTGCCACATTTCTGAAATTCGGTGCCACCCCTCACGCACATCCATCGCAAGGCGTGGTAACCCAAACTGCGAGTACTCCCTCGGCCCTTTAATCCCAAGGTGTGGTAACCAAGCTCGTAAACCATACACGTCTTACCAATCGCCCTGTGTGGTAACCCCTCTTGTGATCAGTTGGTTTTGCCGATTGCGAATCGGCCTCGCATGAAGTTCCGATACTGCTGCACGACAGCGCCAAAGCCTCATGACTTAGCTCTTCCATGGCCCATTCTCCGAGAGAGGGGGCCGGCGGCAGGGGGCGAAGCCCTTACGGATAAAAGGGAACGTCCATATCCATATCCACCGCCTCCTGAGGTCCCCGATGATTGATCCTCCAGGCGGTGGTGATGTACAAATAGAGGGCAGAAGATCCACCCCGAACAGGAACCGCCCCGACACGCGGGGCCGTTCAGTGCACGCACCCAGCTGAGGAACCGAGCAGGGCGAGGCTTTTAGTGTATATACGCCCAGGGCCGTTTGGTGAACGCCAGCTGTCCCGTCGGGGAGGATTTTCCTACCTTGACTACATCCCCGCCTCGGAGAGATGGCCCGCGGCGCGGCGGCAAGGCCGGGGCCCGGCGTGCCGGAGAGAGGGGGGGAGCAGAGGAGGGTGCGGTGCGGGCGCGGCCGCAGGGCGTCCCTCGCCAGAGTCCCCATGCCGGCGGCCCCCGCGCGGAGCCGAGGTGTGAGGGGCCCCGTTCTCCACCGCCAGCACCACGAGTTGGAGGGTGGGAGGAGGTGAAGGAGGAGGAGCGGGAGGAGGAGGGGGAGGCGGAGGAGGAGGAGGAGGAGGAGGAGGAGGAGGAGGAGGAGGAGGAGGAGGAGGAGGAGGAGGAGGGGGGGAGGAGGACCCCCTCCCCCTCCTACTTCTGGTGGTGGCGGTGGAAAATAAGCCCACCACGCTGAACCCGCAGAGCACCCTGAACGCAGCAGCTCCTCCCCCGGCCGCGGGAGGGTCACCGCGCAGCGCGCGGAGCGGAGAAAGCCAGGATGCCCTGATGAGAAGCGTCTGAATCTGGGTGCGTGATGCGCGTCCCCGCTGTACAGTCAACCCGTAGCATAAGGACGCCCGATGAGGAGGCAAGGGCCTTAGGAGGCCGTTTCGAGGCTTTTCGAAGGGGCCGCGCCAGCGACGGTGGCCAAGGATGGACCGAAGGGGCAAGGATGCAAGGGTACCCTTGGGAAGGTTGCCCATCCTTACTGTGCGGGTGGACTGTACGGCAGGTTCGTGTCGTGACGAGCTCGACGTTGGTTTCTGAACCCACGTGGATCGTGGAGCCTTGAACGATCGGCGGCTTCTCGATCGCCAGTCCATGCTGGCCGATGCTGGACCGCTGGCGGCATTCAAGCTTGACCGCCCGCGGCGGGGTCGCCGCCGCGGCGGGCACGACGCGAGCCCATCGCGCGGCATCGAGGAGGGGGGGGGGGGGGCTCAAGCGAGGGCGGGGGGACCGCGACGCGGGCGAGCCGAGCGGGGGCACCCTTGGCCGTGGCAGCTCGTGCAGCCCCGGGCCGAGAAGGGCGCCCGAGCCGCAGCAGGCGCCGCGGGGGCGCGCCGGCGGGGCCGAGCCTCCGCAGGGCGCCCCCGTGCGCCCGTGGGCTCGCGGGCCCGCGCCTCGCGGCCGGCTCAGTTGCGCGACGCGTGCGGGAGAGGGGACTGCCCCCTTGAGGCACCCGCCTGCCCGCCGGCCACGGGGGTCGATGCGACCCGCAGCCCGCGCGTCTCGCTCGCCACCCGCACGCGTGCGGCCATGGGCGAGGAGTGCCTGGTGGCGGCGCGCACGGGTGCGCCGCGCGAGAGGGCATCCCTGGAAGAAGGTGGTGGGCGTCTTAGAGAGGGCAGGGGCCTCCTCAGAGAGGCCGGGGCGGCTTCTGAGAAGCCTCCGCAGAAGCCGGGCTGGCTTCCAAGACGGGCGCTGTCTTCTAAGAGGCCCCCCCCGCCTTCTGAGAAGCCCACCCCCCTCTCGCGCCACCTTTCCTCGCAGGTGGCGGCGACATCCGGGCCTCACCCCCACCAGCCATCGGTTCTCCCGAATCGACGAGGGGGGGGCAGGTGCAGGGCTCGGATTTCGCCGCGAGCTCGGCGAATTCCACACCCTATACCAGCCGCCCATCGAGTTGCGATCGGCGAGGGTACGGTTCGGATTGCACCGCCGATCGTGCGCACCGCCGAGCCTGGCGCTGGCGGCGGGCTCCGCCAGCTGGGCGGCCTGGGCGCCCCCAGCGAGCGACGCGCCGTTCGTGACCACCACGGGCACCTCCTGCGGCTGCCTCCTGGCGCTGCCGCCCGCCCACGCCGCCCCGCTCACCAGGGCGGCGCCGAAGCTCGACACCGGCACAATCTCTGTGCCCCCTGGGCCTGCGCACTGCAGCTGCAGCAGCGCCTGGTGCGCCCGCGCCTCCATGTCCCGCAGCACGCTGACGCGCGCCCCCGCCGCCCCCTCGCGGAGGCCCACGGTCTCCGCGCGCAGCCGGCGGATCTCCTGCTGCGCGCCCGCGCCCTGCGGAGCGGCGCCGAGGGGGGTCGCCGGCGCGGTGGACCTCGCCGACGGCTGCGGCGAGGACAGCTGCCGCGCGCGCTCGACCGCTGCGCGGTCTGGGGCGCTCGGCATCCCAGACTGCTCGCACTCCACAGGGATGGCTCGCCTGCGGCTCATGGGCGACTCCAGCTCCGCTGCCATGTGCGTGCCCGCGCTCGCTGGCGGCGGTGCCATGCGCACTGGCGACGCCGTGCGGGGGCCCGCCGCCAGCACGCCTGGCGCCGGCGTGGTGGCCGGCTCTCTGGCAAAGACCGTGGGTGGCGCGGCGAAGCTGTGGATGGACTGCGCCCCGCTGTTTCCGTCGCCGCAGGCCGTGGTGGTCGCGCTGCTGCCCGCCGACGGCGCGCCGTGCGCGGCGCGCGCGGAGCACCAGGCGGCAGGCCCTCGCTCCCCGCGCCAGCCCACAGGCTCTGCCTTCGGCGCGGAGGGTGTAACGCTGCCGCTGAGCAGGCCGTCGGCCCCGGGCCGGGAGCAGACGAGTCTCGTGTGCGGCAGCTCGGGCTGGGCGGCCTGCGCGGCGCGCAGGCCTTGTGGGGCGGCGGAGTGTGCGGCCAGGGGCTCTGGCTGGGCGCGGGTTCATGGGGGGGCGCTGAGTGGGGGGGGGCAGCAGGGCCCCCGAAGGGGCCCTTTCGGGACCCAGAGGAGGCCGTCGGGGCCCGGAGAGGGCACCTTTCTTCCCCCATCCCCCCTATTTTCGGGGGCGCGCAAGCATGGATTAGCGCTCCATGGATTTGGCGCGCGGTCGCCAAATCCATAGAGCGGGCGAGGTGTCCTCCACAAAATGCGGCCCGTGCCGCCTCGCTCGGCGGCGGAAATCCGCGATTTCCCATGGGGACCCGTCGCTAATCCACGTCCCTTGATCCATGTTTGCGATCGCCTGGTATTTATCGCCCCCCCATTAATTCGCGCCCAATCTGGGTCCAAGGCCGTGGTTCCGGGGAGGCTGTCGACGTGCGTAGCGGAGCCAGAGGGCCAGGAGCGCCCGGAGTGCCCCAGCGCGTCGGGCTGGTCCATGCTGAGCGTGTGATGCACCGCGGTCACGAGGCCCTTCAGCGAGTGCTGGAGCTCCTGCTGGGGAGGCCGAGGCGATCAAAACAGCAAGTGGGGCTTCGTTTGCTGTGGGCATCACGTCTCTGGGCGGGACCTCCGCGTCACACCGCCGCCTCCCCCCTCCCCCCGAAAGGAAAGAACAGCGTAGTACAAGCTCCGCAGACCCTGACAGGAGTGAGGGGCCGCTCAGGGCCCGAACATCTCAAGCCGAGACTGAGGCCCGACGCGCCTGCTGAGACGCACTCGTTTTCAGCGCAAGCCGGACCTGGCGTCAGCGTGGGGCCCCATGGCGGGCCGCGAGCCCTCAGCACTGCTGGGGGTCGGGCGTGCGAAACGGCAACTCGAGAGGCTCGGGAGACGGCCCAAGAGAATCCCCGGAACCCTTGGACGACGGCACCCAAGAGGCCTCCAAGAAGCAGCAAAGCCAACAGCAGCGAGCCACATCAGTCAGCAACCGCCAGCAGCAGTCCGCAACAAGCAGCCGGAGGCCGGTCGGCCGCAGGCAGAAGCAAGCAGCAGCGAGCGGCAGCAAGTGCGGCAGCGAGCCAAGAGGCAGCGCTGACGTGTTGAGGTGGACGCGCGCCCCCGCCCCTGCCCCCCCGCCCCCGTCACCCCCCAGTCCCCACCCTGCCTCCTCCTCCTCGTCCTCCTCCTCCTCCTCCCTTCTCCTCCTCCTCCTCCTCCTCCTCCTCCTCCTTCTCCTCCTCCTCCTCATCCTCCTCCTCCTCGTCCTCGGCGTCGTCGTCGTCCTTCTCCTCCTCCTCCTCCCCCCTCCTCGTCCTCGTCGTCGTCGTCGTCCTCCTCCTCCTCCTCCTCCTCCTCCTCCCTCCTCCTCCTCCTCATCCCTCCTCCCTCCTCCTCCTCCTCCTGCTCCTCTTCCTCCTCATCCTCCCTCCTCCTCCCTCCTCCTCCTCCTCGTCCTCCTCCTTATCCTCCTCCTCCTCCTCCTCCTCCTCCTCCTGCCCCCCCTTGCCAGGCCCAACGGCCTCCCCCTGGGCGGGAGATGGGGGAGACTTGGCATCGCGAAGACGTCCATTCCCCGCGCGTTTTTCGGCCTAGTACGCGCTTTTCCTTTGCCAGATGATCCAGGATGCTCCTCAATGGTCCTGGCCTGACAAATGGCACACGTCCGAGCAATGGCAAGAGGAATGTAAGCACAATGTCAACGGCTCGCCCTGGACCAGCCAACTTGCGCGCGACTTTCTATAGGTTCGCGTGACCGGAAACTCCTCGCGCCGCTGACTCTTGCAAGGTAAAAAGCAATCGCCCCGTCCTCGGCCGCTGTGCTTTAGGTCCTCTCCCGTGGCAGAAAATACTCGGCAACAAAACGTCCCCCTGCTGAAACAAATCGACGGCCGAACGAACCACAAACGTACTAGACCTGTCAACACGGAAACGAACATGGCGTTTCAGAAAATCGCCCAAGAAGGCTGACGTCGTCGTTCTTTATTCGGATCTTTGGCGTTCAGAGCTTATCAGGTTACCAGTCGCTCTTGGAAGCCTCAACATTAAGAGCTTGTTACGTCATCGTTCGATCTTGGAAACCTTGGCCTTGAGGGGCTGTTACGTCACCGTGCTCGGGGCAGCTTTGGCGATAAAAGATGTTTTCGCGTCACCGCTCGCTCTAAGGAGATTTGGGATTATGAGTTGGATCAAGTCACCATTTGCCCCTGGGCGCCGTGGCGTTAAGAGCTTGTTACGTATCCGGTCGCTCTTGGCAACCTTGGCGTCAAGGGCTTGCCACATCACCGTTCGCTCTTGAGAGCGTTGGCGTCAAGCGCTTGTTACGTCACCGTTCGGTATTGGAAGCCTTGGCGATAATGGCTTTTTACGTCACCGTTCGCCCTTGGGAACCTTGGCGATAAAAACTTGTTCACGTCACCGTTCGCCCTTGGGAACCTTGGCAGTATGAGTTGGTTCACGTCACCGTTCGCTCTTGGGCACCTTGGCGTTAAGAGCTCTTTACGTTACCGTTCGCTCTTGGGGGCGTTGGCATGAAAGAGCTAGCTGCGTGACCAGTCGCCGCTCGCTAGTGTGAGCCTTGGCATTAAGGGCTTGTTACGTCACCGTTCACTCTTAGGAACCCTGGCGACAATCACTTGTTCCCCACCCTCCTGTGTTGGGTTCTCGTTTTGAACAGAACACTGTCGCATCCGTCCTCCACTCTCCTCCTCCGCCTCCTCGTTGTCGTCCTCCTCCTCCTCTTCGCCTCCTACCTCCTCCTGCATCCTGCTTGATTCCCAACTCTCCTGTGTTGGGCTTTCGCATCGAATCGAGCACTGCTCGCGCGTATTCTTCCTTCCTTCCTCCCGTCTCTTCCTCTGTGCCTTCCTCCGAGTAGCGAATTGTACAACTGTCGCAACTTCTGTGGTCTCCAGGGAGGTCCAGCGGAGACTCGTGGTCAGGCGAGACCTCGCGGCTCACTGAAGGCTGTCAACTGCGCAATTGTCGCAACCTTCGTTGGCTCCAGGGAGGTCTAGGAGGGGCGGTAGTCAGCCAAGACCTCGTGGCCCCGTGGGAGGCAGCCAACCGCGCAACCGTCGCCGCTTTCGAGGGCTTCTGAGAGGTCCGGCAGGGACGGTAATCATGCGCGACCTCACGGCTCCCTGGAGGCTGTCATGAGCAACTTTTGCCACTTTCGTGGGTTCATGGGAGGTCCAGCGGAGGCGGTAATCAGCCGAGACCTCGCGGCTCCCTGGGAGGCTGCCGACCGAGCAATTGTCGCCCCTTTCGCGGGCGCCTGGGGATGCCAACTGCGCAGTTGTCACCATTTTCGTGGGCTCGTGAGAGGTCCAGCGGAGGCGGTAGTCAGACGAGATATTGCGGCTCCCTGGTAAGATGCCAACTGCGCAACTGTCACCACGTTCCTGGGCTTCTGGGAGATCCAACGGAGGCGATCGCCAGGCGAGACCTCACTGTTCCCTGGGAGGCTGCCAACTGCGCAACGGTCGCCAGTTTCGTGGGCTCCCGTGAGGTCCAGCTGAATCGAGTGTCCGCCCAACGTGATCTTGTCTTTTTTGTTTAAAAAATGGAATGTTCATATAATTCGTCGACTCGCGTGGGGAAAGGGTTGGGTATGTCTCGGGTACTTTCACCACCGCTCGCTCTTGGGAACCTTTGGCGTTAAGAGCTTGCTTCGCAACACCGTTCGCTGTGGGAGCCTTTGGACTCAGAGTTGTTTCACCTCACCGTTTGCTCGTGGCAGCCTTGGCGTTCACAGATGTTTATGTTACAGACTCGTGAACAACTGAATTTACAGTCCCTGGGGCTCTTGGGAGAAAGCTGTGTCCGTCACTGCACTGGGCCGTCTTGGGGCCCTCCTGGTGGTCCTCTTGAGACGCTGTTGGGCGCATCTCAGGGGCATCATGGGGGCCTCTTGGGGGTCTCTTGGACAATCTTCGGGGCCTCTTGGAGGCCTCTGGGGCAAGGTTGGTGCCTCCCCGAGGCATCTCGGTGCCCTCTTGAGCCGTCTT